AATGCAAGTCTTGAGCCTTGCCCAAGGCATTGATGTTCCAAGCGTTATTTATTCAGTGATTAAACATAGTAAATGTAATGGAGATGGAGAAAGAGTTTTACAGGAGTATTGAATATGGTTTGTGATGTGTTACAGTGTGTGGGTTATACCATTAATATAAGCATTACAATTGCAGCCGGGCAAAACATTGTACTGACTACACTTGTGGTTCGACAAACACAGCCTGCTATGATATGGACAAGTCTACAGGCACAATGGGTAGCTTTCCTGGTTCTGAGCCAGAGTTTCAAGTCCCGCTCAGGACATGTTGGCCAAGAAAGATGCATCAATAATGCAGCCAAGCAAATCAAGGACCAACTTGTAAATACAGCAATGGCAAGTGGTAAGATCAGGGCAGGTTCCTGGTCAGCTGTGCGATGGAATTAAGTTGGACACCAAACGTAACTCTATGCTACAACAGGCAAGGGAAAGAGTGCATGTTGTCACTGCAGGTTGGATTCTCAAGCTCACGTAGACCAGATTGGTGCTGGCACTAAGGTGGCTGATCCCACTCCGGGCTGGATGGATCTGTGATTTGCCTCAGTGCCTGACCCATGACCGAAGCCGTGTTGCTGTGGGTCAGATCCACTTTTGTTTACAGAACTGGAGAAGAGAACATGTACTTTAAAAATAAAGTGACCGCTTCCTTTCTCTTTGCGATCTATGAACGATCACATAGTCTCTGTTATGTCTTTTGTTGCCTCTTCATTAATATCAGATATAATTGTGGCTTTTGCAGTTCAGGCCGTCTTTGCAAGTGAGTTTTCACAGTGTTTTCCACACCTTAAAGTGAGATAGATTTGACAGTGTGTCCAGAACAAGAAGCAGAAAGTTTTTAAGTAGCTTTAATGGCTAGGACAGACCTGTTCATCAACAGGATTCCTCCAAGTATTCGAGAGGCAGCAGAGTAACATTAAGTTAGCCCTTAAGCTTTACTGGTTGGAACAACTTATTAAGCAGCAGGTTCAGAAGCCAGTAAGTGGCGTGATTGCAATATGTATAATTAAAGGGATAGTGGTAAGTTCATGATATTATTTCCTTGTACAAGAAAAGTAAATGACTCACAATCTCCACTGAACTAAATTATAGTTGCCTTTTATATATTATTTTTATTCTTACCAACAATAGAAGGATTAGGCAAGCTGACAATTTCTGAAAGCAAAGAGCTGATTTACTTTCAGGATTATGGATAGTCTGTTGACTGTACGGAAGTCCCAGAGAAACCCAAAACATTTTAAAGGAGTAATTTGCTATTAGTGGTGGAAATCGGGCTGTAGAAGGCAATAGCAATTGGAAGTCCACCAGTCTGTCCCTGGCGACACATCCTAACTACGTAAGGGGTGAAAAGTAGCCAATGACCTCTAAATGACCACTGAAGTGCCGAAGGGCAAGCTGGAAAAGTGGGATTGGGGTTTGCTCCCATTTCGTAGATGAGGGTAGAGAACCCTGGACCCTTCCCCATAAAATCCAGTCCTGCCACTCTATGACTCAAGGACAAAGATTTCCTTTGCTTATTTATTAACAAATGATATTTTCTGCTTATCAAGAGTATTCAGCGCAGGGTAGCACCGTAAAGCGTACACATCAGCCATCAGCTTACTGCCAGCTCACACACAGTAAACTCTTTTACTGTGTTGCCATTACCTCATGGCAGTCACAGCAACAGAAGACATCACAGGTTTTCTGTGATGTTTCCCTTTCCTTTAATGGACATCCTCTCTGACTCAGAATGTCAATTTACTTACAAATTATGAATAGAATTGTAGGTAGCAACCTGCTAGCAGCTAATTTAATCCTGGTCATGGTTCAATTTATTTTGAAGCTTCAGAACCAGTCAAGAGAAAAGAAAATGGTCTTGCATTATCTGGTCTGGTTTGATCTTTACATTCAGTGGTGAAAGGATGGACATCAAGTAAGAGCAAGACTAGACCTTCCACAGCAAGCATATTCAATGCCACATCCAAAGTCTGAACTATGGAATATTACTGTACAGAAAGAGGCCATTCATCCATCATATCTTTGCTGGCTCTTTGAAGAATCAATCAAATTAGTCCCACTCCCCTTGTTCTGTCCTTTTTTCTGTTCAAATATTTATCAAATTCCATTTGAATGTTATTTCACTGCTCTTTCATGCAAAAAGTAACAAGTCCTAACACTTTAATGTGGAAAAATCACATCTCACCTCTGTTTGGTTTTGACAATTAATCTAAAACTGTATCATTGGGTTAACTGACTCATCTGCCAGTGAAAACAGTCTCCCTTACTTCAGCCATCGAAATTGTCGTAGTTATGAGTGTTCCACTTGAATCTCGTCTCAATATTTTTTTCTGCACAAATGAAAACAATTTCATTTTTCTTAGTCTCAGCACATAAGTGAAGGCCCATAGGCATCTGCTGCCCTTAGTCTTTCAGATGGTCATGCTTGTGGGTTTGGAAGATACAGTCTAAGGAGCCTTGGTAAATTTCTGCAGTGTATCTTGTAGATGGCTGCTACTGAGTATCAATGGTAGACAGAGTAAATGTATGTGCTAGTGGAGTCAATCAAATGGGGAACTTTGTCCTAGATGCTGTCAAGCTTCTTGAGTGTTGATAATGCTACAGTTGTCCAGACAAATGGAGAGTATTCCATCACACCCCTGAATTGTGCCTTACGGATGATGAGCAAGTTTGGGGAGTCAGGAAGTGAGTTACTTACTGCAGGAAACCTAGCCTCTGGCATGGTCTCATGCAAACAGAATTATTATGGCTAATCCAGCTCGGTTTCTGGTCAATGGTAACGCTCAGAATGTTGATAGTACTGGAGTCAGCGATAGTATTGCCATTGGCTGTCAAGGGGTAATGGTTAGATTCTCTCTTGTTGGAGATGGTCATTACCTGTGTGGTGTGAAGCTATCAGCCCAAGCCTGGATATTTTGCAGAACTTAGTGCATTTCGACATGGACTATTTCAGTATCTGAGGATTGATGAACATTGTGAAATCATCAGCAAAATCCACACTTCAGATTTTGTGATGGGGAGATCAAGCAGAATTGATGAAGCAGCTGAAGATGGACAAGGACAATATCTGAGGACAAGACCCTGAGGAACTCCCGCAGTAATGTCCTGTAGCTGAGAAGACTGACCTTCATTGGTCAGAGCATTGAGTATAAGAGTTAGGAAGTCATGTTGCGGCTGTACAGGATGTTGGTGAGGCCACTTTTCGAGTACTGTATGGTTCTGGTTGCCCTGTTATAGGAAGGATATTGTTAAATTGGGAAGGGAACAGAAAAGATTTACTAGGATGTTACCGAGACAGGAGGGTTTGAATTATAAGGAGAGGCTGGATAGGTGAGGACATGTTTTCCCTGGAGCATAGGAGGTTGAGGGGTGATCTTATAGAGGTTTATAAAATCATAAGGGGCATAGATAAGGTAAATAGCAAAGGTCTTTTCCCTTGGGTAGAGGAGTTCAAAATCAGACGGCATAATTTTAAGGTCAGAGGGGAAAGATTTAAAAGGGGGCCTGAGGGGTAACTTTTTCACTTAAGAGGGTGGCTTGTATACGGAACAAACTGCTAGAGGAAGTGGTAGATTCAGGTACAGTTACAACATTTAAAAGTTATTTGGACAGGTACATGAATAGGAAAGGTTTAGAGGAATATGGGCCAAACTTAGGAAAATGGGATTAGTTTTGTTTTTATTTCTTTATTCATTCACAGGATGGCTAGGCAGCATTTATGGTCCATCCCTAATTTCCCAGAGAGCAGTTATGAGTCAACCACATTGCTGTGGGTCTGGAGTCACATGTATGCCAGGCCAGGTAAGGATGGCATTTTCCTCTCCTAAAGGGCATTAGTGAACCAGATGGGTTTTTCCCCCATGACAATCAGCAATGGATTCATAGTCATCATTAAATTCTTAATTACAGATATTTATTGAATTCAAATTCCACCATCTGCCATGGTATTACCTGGGTCTCTGGATTGACAGTCCTGTGATAATACCACTAGGCCATTGCCTCCCTTGTTTGGAAAACTTGGTCGGCATGCACAAGTTGGACCGAAGGTCTGCTTCCATGCTATATGACCCTATGACCACCAATTACACATCCATCTTCCTTTATGCCAGGTATGATTTCAAACAATGGAGAGTTCTCCTTTGATTCCCGTTGACTCTAGTTTTGGCACCTTGCTGCCAAAATTGGTCAAATGCAGCCTTGATGCAAGGCCAATAACTATAATCCCTGGAATTCAACTGCTTTGTCCAGGTTGAGACAAGGCTGCCACAAGATCAGGAGCTGAGTGGCCCTGACCGAACACAAACCGAGCCTAAGTGAATAGGTTATTCCTTTGCAAGTATTGCTTGATAGCACTGTTGATCCTTTTCCATCAATTTACTGATGATCAACAGTGGACTGACGAGGTGCCAAGTGGCCAGGTTGGACATACCCTGCTTTGTTTTAGGGGCAGAAAAACTTAGGCAATTTTGGAATCATTCTTGAGTAACACAGTGAGGGTAAATCTACAATCTGTCGCTCTAACAATACAAAGCTTCACACACGTAGAATGTTTGTCAGAATTTTAGGTCCTCCAACTGATTCATGGTATTTGTAATTTCCTTTCCATTAAAGATACCAATGACAAACCCAGGGTCACAATTCCAACGTAAGCCTGAATTTCCCAATGCATACACCCAGCTAACAAATCTTCACTTTGGAGGCACTCAATATGAAAACATCTTATAGTGCACATATTGATTTTACAGGTTCTGGCATCAAATAGAAAGATATTCTCACTTGCACTGAGGTATCTCCCACCTTCATCTAGCTCAACAGCAATCATTTTGACTTGTATCAAACAGGTGATATTAACTCACACCAGGTTTACACTCCCACCAAAGTCAAAACTATAATCATTAATGTGATTGAATAACGTCAGGCTTCAAGGAAACACAGCCAAAGTAACAAGTCTGAGATATAATTACCACTCCTCCCCCAGCTGAGTGCAGCAGCACTGACATTCCTTCTCGGAGGTTAGCCACTTCGAACAGCATCATGTAGGCAGTCACAAAGTTCATGGGGAAAGCTGCTGCTTCTGCAAAGCCCATCTCATCTGGGATCTTGTACACAAACTCCATCGGTGTGCAGACCACTTCACCCCAGGCACTGTAATTAACAAACGCCATGACTCTGTCTCCGATCTGAAAACAGGTGAAAAAGAAGATGAACCAACCAGCACAGATGAGCTGACAGCAATGACTTTAGCTTAACACAAAACTGCTATGAAATCAGGGAGAAACTAACATTGTATTGGAGACAGGTATTTACCACAACTAACATAGCAAAAGAGCAATGAGAAAAATAATGGCATTGAAGAGGGATCAGCTGTCAGGCCCAGATTGTATTGATCCCTTGGTCTAAAGGGAAATAGGTGAGAATAATACAGAAGCCCTGAATATTTCAAAGTATTCTCAATGTGGAGATTTTTCATTTACATCAGAAAATTGCACACATCGCTCTGCTCTTTGAAAAATGATGCAGAGGTGCCGGTGTTGGGATGGACAAAGTCAGAAGTCACATGACACTAGGTTATAGTCCAACAGGTTTATTTGAAATCACAAGCTTTTGGAGCGCAGCCCCTTCATCAGGTGAAGTGGAGGGAAGCACAATAGCACCAAATTTATAGGTGGAGAGATCATTGCAAGATAATTACACGTAAGAAAGACGACACAGAAAAGCTAGGGATTTACAAAGCAATCAGCCTTATGTGAATAAGAAAGCTTTAATAAATTAGCTGAATGGACATTTGCCTCAAATTTCAATACGGACAGGTATGAGGTAGTATGTATTGATAGGAAGAAAAGTTCCTTGAGGGGAAAATTCAATTTTAAGAAGGGTACAGGAACAGAGAAATCTGAGGTACATACATACAAATCCCCAAGAGTAGCAACACAGATTAAAAAGGGCATAAAATGAGCAAACAATGCACCCGGGATCAGTTTGCAATTATAAAGCAGAGAAGTTATGTTGAACTTGCATAGAATCTTGGTAAGACTTTATTTGAATTAACCTAATCAGTCCTGTTTCAATATTATAAAAAGGACATAAAGGCACGGGACAAGAAAAGACCGAGATGTGACCTCGGAGAGTTCTTTTTTTAAGACAATGCAATGGCTTGATTGGAATGATGCAATGTAGAGATCATGCTCGCTCACAGGCGTTACCATAACTACGGGCCGACAGATAAGAAAGTCACTGATAAATCCAGTGGGAATTCAGGAGAAACTGTTTTTTTTTACATAAAGAATGTGGAGCTCACCATGGAGCAGCTGAGCTGTGAATAATGTTAATGTGTTTAAGAAGAAACCAGACGAGCAAATGCGAGTAAAAAGATTCAAGGTTATATGAAGAAGGCTGGAAGGAGACTCATCTGGGGTATAAACACCAGAATGGACCTGTTGGGTCGAATGGCCTGTTTCTGTGCTGTAAGCAACCTATCATTCTGGACTCTAATCATTCTTGGCTCTTAATTTAGTACTTTATCCTATTTTTATCTTCATACTCAATAGTGGGTCAGGGGTGCATGTTGCCTAGGGGTTCTGAACTCTAGATTGCCCTCCCTAAACCTCTCCACCTCTTCCTCCTTCACAAGGTAGTACTGACCTTTAGTCAGTGATCTTACTATGCACTATGCCAGCATAAAGGCTGGGTGGAGAAAGCGAATCTGGCTTCACTTCAGCCTGATGTCCCAAAGCCAATCAATAGCCAACAAGCTGGGGTAAGTGGGAGGAGTGCTTGGGTCCCAAGAGGATGCCCGTTCACCCAGGAAGTGATGATAGGCTTGAAACATGGCATTATCTCTCCAGCTGTTGTGTAAACCCAGGGGCAGCTGGCATGAGGGCCTTAAGTGATAAGAAGGATGTGGTGGCTTTGGAGAGGGTACAGAAAAGATTTACCACGATGTTGCCTGGTATGGAGGGCATTAGCTATGAGGAAAGATTGGAGAAACTTGGGTTGTTCTCACTGGAATGACGGAGGTTGAGGGGCGACCTGATAGAGATCTACAAGATTATGAAGGGCATGGACAGAGTGGACAGTCAGAAGCTTTTTCCCAGGGTGGAACAGTCAGTTACCAGGGGCCATGGGTTTAAGGTGCAAGGGGTAAGGTTTAAAGGTGATGTACGAGGCAAGTTTTTTACACAGAGGGTGGTGGGTGCCTGGAACTCGCTGTTGTGGGAGGTAGTGGAAGCAGATACTGTAGTGACTTTTAAAGGGCATCTTGACAAATACATGAATAGGATGGGAATAGAGGGATACGGTCCCCGGAAGGGTTAGGGGTTTTAGTTGTGACGGGCAGCAGGCTTGGAGGGCTGAAGCGCCTGTTCCTGTGCTGTAATTTTCTTTGTTCTTTGCTCTTTGTAAATTAGTCTCTTCTGGACCTCAACTGGCCCACAGGCTGGCATGTATCTGAATGGCACCTCCTCCTCTGTTAAAGCTGTAGTTGGGGCAGGGACAGACAGGTAGATGGCGAGCGTGACATCAACCTGCCTGTCCAAAACCTCCAGGAGATGATACCGGGAGGGACACCATAAAATCCAAACCTCATGCATTCTCCTGTGGCACAGAGTCAATTTATTCCAATCATGTCAATGGCTTCTCAATGGTTTACTAGATTATAGGCACTGTCAAAATGAAAGCTGTTTTCTTGTAATTTGCTCCCTAAGCAATGACTTGCATGTTGGGCTACATTCTTCATGCAAATATTTAGATGGATTTGCCGCTGTACTGAAGTGTGCAGCTGGTGTTTCTATAAAACATGACAGTCTGAGAAGAATTAGAAAATGGTCTGATAATCGTTACGTGTAATGATTTTCTGAGTGCAGTTAATTTGATTTTAATGAGATTAGTTGATCTATGATAATGGGTGGTCAAAGCCAGTTATTACTTTCTGCTCAAGCAGCCTAAGTGGGCTGAAATGAACAGTGGACTAAGGTTGGTGAGTGATGACAGGAGATGGAGCAAGTGTGGACAGGAAGGGGATACAGAATGACCTGGGTAAAGGGGCTCTCTGTGGGTCAGGATGAAGTACTTCAGGAGGGTCAGGAACACTCAGCGAGAAGGAGTTAAAGAAATTTATCGAAGGTAGCTTGGGAAAATGCATTAGTGAGGTGAGCATAAGGACTAAATAAAACCAAAAAAACCATCAATGCTGTAAATCAGAGACAAAAACAGAAATTGCTGGAAAAGCTAAGCAGGTCCGGCAGCATTTGTGGAGAGAAATCAGAGTTAACGTTTTGGCGCAAGTGACCCTTCAACTCATCCCGAAATGTTAACTCTGATTTCTCTTCACAGACGTTGCTAGACTTGCTGAGTTTTTCCAGCAATTTCTATTTGTGTCTATTAGTATAAGGACTGATATTTTCAACTGTCTGAAAGAGATTTAATCATTCCAAACATAGTGTTGCAAAAAAGTTAAAAGAATACTGAAGGCCCCTTTTCTATGTTTAAATCTCATTATAATCAGTAAAGACCCATCTCGTGGATTTGTGGGCCTTTGTTGCTAGACCATTAACCCAGAGACCCAGGTAATGTTGTAGGGACCTGGGGTCAAATCCCACCACAGAAGAGGGTGGAATTTGAATTCAACAATAATCTGGAATTAAGAGTCTACAGACGGCCATGAAACCATTACTGATTGTCAGGAAAAACCCGTCAGGTTCACTAATGTCCTTTAAGGAAGGAAATCTGCCATCCTTACCTGGTCTGGTCTGGCCTACATGTGACTCCTGACCCACAGCAAATGTGGTTGACTCTTAGCTGCTCTCTGGGCAATTAGAGATCTGGCAATAAATGCTGGTCCAGCCAGCAACATCCACATCCCATGAATGAACTTTTTTTAAAATTCTTTCTAAACGCTGACCTGAGTAAAATTATAGGTTGTGACTATAATACTTGACAGAGTTGCCAGGCTGTTTTGTACTCAGGGACTCTTAAATGCTCAAACAGTAAATTTGGCCCAATTTCATAATAACACGAAAGTTGCCATTTATGAAAATGCATAAAAGCCGACACCCAAGGATGAAGATAAAAAAGACAATGGTATGTTAGAGACAACAAGGTGCAGGGCTGGATGAACACAGCAGGCCAAGCAGCATCGTAGGAGCAGAGAGGCTGACGTTTCGGGCCTAGACCCTTCATCAGAAAAGGGGGAGGGGAAGAGGGTTCTGAAATAAATAGGGAGAGAGGGGGAGGCGGATAGAAGATGGATAGAGGAGAGGATAGGTGGAGAGAAACAAACAGGTCGAAGAGGCGGGGATGGGGCCAGTAAAGGTGAGTGTAGGTGGGGAGTTAGGGAGGGGATAGGTCAGTCCAGGGAGGACGGACAGGTCAAGGGGGCGGGATGAGGTTAGTCGGTAGGAGATGGAGATGCGGCTTGAGGTGGGAGGAGGGGATAGGTGGGAGGAAGAACAGGTTATGGAGGCAGGGATGAGCTGGACTGGTTTTGGGATGCGGTAGGGGGAGGGGAGATTTTGAAACTTGTGAAATCCACATTGATACCATTGGGCTGCAGGGTTCCCAAGCGGAATATGAGTTGCTGTTCCTGCAACCTTCGGGTGGCATCGTTGTGGCACTGCAGGAGGCCCAGGATGGACATGTCGTCTGAGGAATGGGAGGGGGAGTTGAAATGGTTCGCGACTGGGAGGTGCAGTTGTTTATTGCGAACTGAGCGTAGGTGTTCTGCAAAGCGGTCCCCGAGCCTCCGCTTGGTTTCCCCGATGTAGAGGGAGCCACACCGGGCACAGCGGATGCAGTATACCACATTGGTAGATGTGCAGGTGAACATCTGCTTGATGTGGAAGGTCTTCTTGGGGCCTGGGATGGGGGTGAGGGGGGAGGTATGGGGGCAGGTGTAGCACTTCCTGCGGTTGCAGGGAAAAGTGCCGGGTATGGTGGAGCTGGAGGGGAGCGTGGAGCGGACAAGGGAGTCACGGAGAGAGTGGTCCCTCCGGAAAGCCGATAAGGGTGGGGAGGGAAAGATGTCTTTGGTGGTGGGGTCGGATTGCAGATGGCGGAAGTGTCGGAGGATGATGCGTTGGATCCGGAGGTTGGTGGGGTGGTACGTGAGGACGAGGGGGATTCTTTTTTGGTTCTTATTGCGTGGACGGGGTGTGAGGGATGAGTTGCGGGAGATGTGGGAGACACGGTTGAGGGCGTTCTCAACCACTGACGGGGGGAAGTTACGGTCCTTGAAAAACGAGGACAACTGAGATGTACGGAAGTGGAATGCCTCATCCTGGGAGCAGATGCGGCGGAGGCGAAGGAATTGGGAATAGGGGATAGCATTTTTGCAGGAAGGTGGGTGGGAGGAGGAGTATTCTAGGTAGCTGTGGGAGTCGGTGGGCTTGAAATGAATATCGGTTTCTAGGTGGTTGCCCGATATAGAGACAGCGAGGTCCAGGAAGGGGAGAGAGGTGTTAGAGATGGTCCAGGTAAACTTGAGGTTGGGGTGGAAGGTGTTGGTGAAGTGGATGAACTGTTCGAGCTCCTCGTGGGAGCACGAGGCGGCGCCGATACAGTCATCAATGTAACGGAGGAAGAGGTGGGGTTTAGGGCCGGTGTAGGTACGGAAGAGGGATTGTTCCACGTAACCTACAAAGAGGCAGGCGTGGCTTGGGCCCATGCGAGTACCCATGGCCACCCCCTTTGTCTGTAGGAAGTGGGAGGAATTGAAAGAGAAGTTGTTGAGGGTGAGGACAAGTTCAGCTAAGCGGATGAGGGTGTCAGTGGAGGGGGACTGGTCGGGCCTGCGGGACAGGAAGAAGTGGAGGGCCTTAAGACCATCTGCATGGGGAATGCAGGTATAGAGGGACTGGACGTCCATGGTAAAGATGAAGTGTTGGGGACCGGGGAATTGGAAGTTCTGGAGGAGGTGGAGGGCGGGGCTGGTGTCACGGACATAGGTAGGGAGTTCCTGGACCAAGGGGGGGAAAATGGAGTCCAGATAGTTGGAGATCAGTTCGGTGGGGCAGGAGCAGGCGGAGACAATGGGTCGACCAGGGCATTCAGGTTTGTTAGTTTTTATCACAGGGATGGGCAGCATGACAATAAAAATAGTTTGTTTTCAACCATGATCACATTGAATAACAGAGTAGGCTTAATAGGTCAGTAAAATCACAGTGCCGTCAGGGAGCGAAGCAGAAAATTTTGACCCAGCGACAGTGAAAGAATGGCAATATGGCTTTAAGTCAGGATGCATGTGCGGTGGAGGGAACTGTGCAGGTCATGGTGCTCCCACCTACCTGTTTCCCTTGTCCTTTTGGATAGTAGAGTTTGCAGATTCGGTAGGAGCCTTGGAGAGTTACCACAGTGAATCTTGCAGATGGTACTCACTGCTGCAACTATGGTGAGGGGCTGAATGCTTGAGGTGGTAGATGGGGCGCCACACAAAGAGGTGTTGTGCCACTCTTACTAAATTCACTGCGGCAACTAAACAAGACACCTTGACAGCTTCTTCCAAATCCATGATCCCCACCATCTGGGAGGACAAGGGCAGTAAATGTGTGCAAACACTACCACCTCTAAGTGACCCTTTAAGACACAAATTACCCTAACTTGGAACTGTATCACTGTTCCTTCACTGTCACTGGGTCACAAGCCTGGAACTCCCTCCCAAATAACACTGCAGGTGTCCCTATCACTTCACAGACTGCAGCAATTCAAGAAGGTAGCTCATTTGCACCTTCTCAAGGGCAATTAAGAATGGGCAATAAATGCCAATCTAGACAGCACTGTCCACTTCCCAGGACCAAATAATAATAAAAGGTTTTAAGATCTCAGCATTTGAGATTTTAAGATCTTTTAATACTTTAAGAAAGAGCAATTAACGTTAAGAAGTGGTGTGATGAATTTTGATGTAGTGAGGAAAAAGAAGAAGGAAGAATTCATGGGAGTTTAGGAGAAACAGAGGTAAAGACAGGGGACATAGTAATATTGATGCAGAAAAACTGACAATACCGACCTCAAAGCCTACTGTGTTGTCACCCAAGCCTTCCACAATTCCAGAGCACTCAAAGCCAGGAACCAAAGGTGTCTTTGGTGGGTTTTCTATATTGCCTTGTCGAACCATCAAGTCAATGAAATTCAAGCCACTGAAAAGAAAAATTATCAAGTCAGAAGTATGGCAATTGACCAAACACGAATATCCTGTAGACTATGAAGGAATAGACAGCTGTATGTATATGTTTACGAGCACAACTAAATTTAATGGCATAGTAAATAGTGTAGATATGACAAATAATGGGACATTGAAAGACGAAGTGAGTGGCGAAGCTGCGTAAAATGAAGTTCAGTGTGTGAATGTGTAAGGTCATTTACCTTGCAACTAAATAGATCAGGCTAGTTTGTAAAAGATGGGAATCTAAGAACTGGGATGAGCACAGAGACGTGAAGATGTAAGTGAATACATCACTAAAGCTAATGCAGAGTCACAACAGCTATTGTATTTCTTTACAGATACTGGGGTTTATGGAAGATATGTTGGTCTTAGAGGGGGCAGCACATTTTTGTCACTTTGATACCAGAACTAACCAGGTTTTAGTTACAAGCTTAATTTGCATTCACTCGGATATCTTGTTTTGCATATTAATGATTAAGGGATGATAATGTGTGGCTAACAGTTCCAAAGACTCACAACCCTCTGAGAGAAGAAATTCTTCCTCATCTCGGTCTTAAATTGGCACCCCTTAATTCTAAGACTGTGCCCTCTGGATCTTCCCATGAGGGAAGCATCCTCTCCGCATTTACCCTGCCAGTTCAAGTGGGGGTAGGTAGTAAATGCAGGCCCAGCTAGTAATGCCTGCATTCCATAAACAATTAAAAATAGATCCATCATAATCTCCTGCTCTTGTACTGAATGTCTCAATTGATAATCACAGTAATTTTATCTACCTGTCCTGTTGGCTTCAAATGTGTACAGACATGTCCTCCAATCCTTTGTACTTCTTGGGGTCCTACCATTCAACTCCCTTGCCTTGCTAGTCGTCCAAAAATGCATCACCTCAGACTTTTCCAGATGAAATTCCATTTGCCATTGTTCTGCCCATGTGACCAGCCCATCTATGTCAGCCTGTAGTTTAAGGTCTTCCTCCTTGCTACCTGCCACACCACCAATTTTCTTGACATCTATGAACGTACAGATCAAACCTCCTACATCCATGTCTAGATTAGATAAACCGCAAAAAACTCACCAAATAACTGTGTGGTACCTCTTGACACCAGCTTCTAGTTACAGAAACAACCTTCATCCATCGACCTCTGCCTGTTCCCACTAGACAACTTCTGATCCAATTTGCCAAATTGCCTTGAATCCTCTGGGCTCTTACCTTCTTGACCAGTCTCCCATAGGAAACTTTGTCAAAAGCCTTATTGAAGTCTAGGTAGACTACATTAAGTTCACTACCTGCACTCAGGTAACTCCACTCATCTACACACCTTCTCAAAAATGCATTCTCAATCATAATCTCCCCCTGACAAAGCCAAGATGATGTTCCTTGATTAATCCTTGTCTCCCAAGTGGAAATTAATTTCTTCCTTCAGAATTTTTTCAACAGTTTATCTGACACGGATGTTACATCAATGGCCTATACTTCCCTGGTTTTTCCCCTATCCCTTTTCTGAATAATAGTCACACATTAGCTGCCTTCCAGTCCTCTGGCACCTCTCCTGAGGCCAGAGACCATTTGAAAATTAATGTCCGAGGCCTTGCGATCTCCTCCCTTGCCTCCCATAGCAGATTGGGATACATCTCAACTCCAGGCCAGCAGATGGAGATCCTTACCCTCCTCTGCCCTAAGCAATATGCCTCAAAAAATTTCTGTTTGAGACATAGTAAATCAACAAATGCCAGGGATTAATCCCCAAAATTTCTTGCAGTTATTCCAATTTACATGGTGTATTGTATTATTTCCAATCAATAGAATCATAGAACCCACCCCACCATCCTCAGTGCAGGCAGAGTCCATTTGTCCCTTCTAATTCTACTCACCCTCTGAAAAGCATCCCACACAGACCCTTACCATATCCCCATAATCCCGCATTTAGCCAATCCATGTAAACTGCACATTCCTGGACACTGTGGGCAATTTCCCATGGCCAATCCACCTAACCTGCACAACTCTGGACTGTGGGAGGCAGCTGGAACACCTGGAGGAAACCCACACAGATGCAGGGAGAATATCCAAACTCCACGCAAACTCCATCCCAGGGTGGAATTGAATCCTGGCACTGTGAGGCAGCAGTGCTAACCACTGATCCGCCAACTAAATCTGGAATTGACAGCTGGTCTTAGTAACTGTGACAATGAGACTATCTAAGATTGTTGTAAGAACCCATCTGGTTCACTACCATAACTTAAGGAACGAAATCTGCCAACCTTACCTGGTCTAACCTACATGTGACTACAGATCTCACAGCAACATGGTCAACGCTCAACCGCCCTCTGGGCAATTAAAAGTGGGCAACGATGCCTACATGCAATGAATAAATAAACCATAATATTCATTGAGCCATAGAATGAGCAAGAAAAATGTCCTACCATATATTCTAGTGCAGCAGAGGCAATACCTTGCTGCACATTGTGATTGATTTGCCAAAGGTTCAAGATATTACAGCCAGCAAATTTCGAGTAAGCTAGAGGCTACTTGGAATACTCTACTAGTGACTGGAGAGGTCCTAGTCAATTTCACCCAGTGTATATTTTGGGGTAGGTTTTCCTATTCTTGCACCTGAGTTGTTGAAATGTCGGGAAATATTCAAACATTTCTCATGGAGGTGTGTGATCTTCTCTGACTGGTGTTCCTCCATTCATTGTATCCAAAACAAAACTAATGACTCCAGGCTAGACAAACAGGAGGCTAGAAGAACACAGCAGGCCAGGCAGCATCTGGAGGAAAGGAGCAGTCATTGTTTCGGTTATTACCCTTTTTCAGGACCTTGTAATACCCGAAACGTTGACTACTCCTTTCCTCCAGATGCTGCCTGGCCTGATGTGTTCTTCCAGCCTCCTGTTTGTCTACCTTGGATTCCAGCATCTGCAGTTATGTTTTAGTCTTTAAGGACTCCAGGCACTGGATCAAGAAAATGCATGTGAAACTGAGGCAATAGTTTAAAGAGTTATTCTGAGCAACAGGATTCATTCCTTTGTGATTGAATCAGAGTAGAAATTAGTCTCAGCCAGGAGCAAATTGACTCAAAGCAAATTCCCTCTATTTTAACAGAATTATCAATGCTCTCCTTTACAATTACAAGGCAGGAGCTGAATCCGAGGAAGAGTCATATATTAGACTCAAAACATTAATTCTGCTTTTCTGTCCACAGATGCTGCCAGGCCTGCTGCGTTTCTCCAGCATTTTCTGTTCTTATTTCAGATATCCAGCATCTATACTAATTTGCTTTTATGCAAGACAGGGGCATTTGGTATAAGTACAATTGTAAGATAATATCGCTAATCACCATTTTTCTTGGCAATTGCACACAAGCTATTAATTAGACCGCCTGCTCCACATTTTGGTTTAGATAGTCATTATCCTCTGTGCACTTGCACTGTCGCCTAAATATACTAACTCATAAATAATGATGTGTATTTACATTATGAAACAAAGTAAAATGTAAGTTTCTGAGCATTTTATTTCTCGTCATCATTTGATGTTGCCGGTACATCAGAGAACAGGATGGCATGGTGGCTCAGTGGTTAGCACTGCTGCTTTACAGCGCCAGGAACCCGGGTTCAATTCCACCCTCGGGTGACTGTCTGTGTGGAGGTTGCATGTTTTCCCCGTGTCTGCGTGGGTTTCCTCCGGGTGCTCTAGTTTCCTCCCGCAGACTAGGTGGCTTGGCCATGCTAGATTGCCTATAGTGTTCAGGGATGTGTAGATTTGGTGGGTTATAGGGGTATGGGTCTGGGTGGGATGTTCTGAGGGTCAAAGTGGACTTGTTGGGCCAACGGGCCTGTTTCCACACTGTAGGGATTCTATGAACAGGCAGGTAGCCTGATTTTACTGTCGACAAACAGTTAATCCCATTCTCAACAGTGTGATGTAATTAAGCCTGCCTTCCCACTGAAACAGTTAATTCCTTCCAATGTTTTGTTTCATTATCCATTATCACTGCAGGAAACACTTACAATAGGAAATTCTTCTCCATAATTACACAAGATATGAGTTAAACAAACCATTTGCTTGAGGCTTTTTGATGTCTTTCCCTAGTCTGGTAGAACAAGATCCAACAACACAAGCAACATCTTTTAGATAATGAATGTCCTGCGGCAGAAGAGCAATAAATGCAAATTATTGGTGGGAGAAGATTCAGGGAAGTGATCGCCAACTGCTTCATTTGTCAGTCCTGAGGTAGCTTTTGAAGGCAGAAAGTTAGGCAATGCGATTGATTAAGGAAGATTCTAAGAAACAATTTCCTCTGGTAGGATGAATCCAAACCGTACACTTAAAGTCAGGTCATTTACTTGTCTGAAAAGCAAACGGTTCAAGGAGATCTGCAACTCTCTTTCTCAAATGTCTCTGACCCTTCATTCCTCACAGGATGTGGGCATTACTGTTAAGGCCAGCATTTGTTGTCCAGCGCATACTGTCCTTGAACTGAATGGTTCAGCCATTTCAGAATCAATCACATTGCTTTGGATCTGGAGGCACATGGAGGCCAGACCACGTAAGGATGCAAGATTTCCTTCGCTGAAGGATATTACTGAGCCAGTTGGGTTTTTAAACAATAATCAGTGAAAACTCATGTTCACCATCACTGAGACTAGCCTTCAATTCTAGATTTACCAACTGAAATTAAGCTCCACCAGTTTCCATGATGAGATTTGAACTTCTAACTGCAGAGCATTAGGCTGGACGCTTGGTCTACAAGGCCAGTGACAAAACCACAATGCCCCAGCTACCCGCTAACTGTGGATGCTAACATGATAAATTTTCAAGAGATGAATAGGTTTGTGTTAAGTAAAGGTACCAAAGAATATGGAGTTTTTTTTTTCCCTAATCAGAGTTGCTAATACACACTATTGGAGCAGATATGACTTGAAACCAGGCCATCTGGATCAGAGGTAGGGACTCAAGCACTGTGCCACAATAACTCA